ATTTTTTTTTTTAATTTTTTAAACTACGTAATTATGGGGGAAGGGATTACAGGTGTGGGGTACCAATCCCATGTGGTTGGCCTCCACCTTCAAACATTTGATCACCAGATTTTAGATTATTATTATTATATTTTTTTGTATGCGGAAAAGCATCATCAATTAAATTGAGATAGTTGTACCTGGTTCAAATGTAACGACTTTCCTTGAAGGTCTCCTCTTAGATGATGCTTAATTACCTTGCACCTAGACCTTCACTTTCTTGGTAATTTGCAGAGCATTGACTATAAAAATCAACTTTAGAATTTTGGGTACAAATGGATACATCACTTGCCCCACCCCCATTGCTTGAATTTTCTCTTTAACCCTCAAATAATATGGGCGCAGGTCCGCTTCTGTGTTCTGATATCGAGGAGCATCTTGATGATGATGGTTTCTTGGGAGTTTTTGGGTATTGGTGTTTGGAAATTTGGAATGGGTCCAGTGAATTGATTTGGGGGGCAGATATTGCTTGCCACGTCAATTCAACACAAAAAATGAAGAAGCCGACGAGTTTAGGTTTGGTGGATTTGTTCGATAATTGGCAGAGTATTATTAGGGTTTTTTTAGTATACGATTTAAAGATATAAGTTAACAAATTTTTTATTTAATTATTATTAAAAAAATAAAAATTGATTTTTATTTAATTAATATTTTAATTAAAATTGATAATGAATTAATGTTAATTTTTATTATTTTTAATATTAATTAATGACAAAAATATATATTAATTATACTTTTAACTACCAAACTTATCATCATTATCATTATTATTATTGAATGCTTATCGGATGCAATGTGGATTTGGAGGTCTATATTGATGCAAATCCATTTGATAGATAAAAAAAAGAATGGGATAAGAGAAAATAACAAACTCACATAAATAAAACAGTATGTTCACTTTCTTTGAAGCACATGACCGTAAAATAAGCTTATGAAATGTGGATCTTTTCAAAATAATACTAGCACTTTATTCAAAATTAATGTATGGTAATATAGTATTAAAAAACTAACAATAATCATAAAAGTAGCTTCATCAAAGTTAACATTTTTTTCTTTTCACCCCTAAAAAAAAAAAAAGCTTTATCAAAGTTCGTGAAAGTAGCTTTATCAAAGTCACCCTTTTTTTTTTCTTTTCACCACAAAAAAAAAAAAAAAA